GGGGGGGGGGAACCCCCCATTGGTATGGGTATGGACTCGAGAATACGTGGGATCGCAAGATCATGCTCTGCCACCTGTGAAATGCCGTTGAATGCCGCCGGAGCTGGATTTTTCCAACGGATGTAACGGTATTCATATTTCTCATCCCTCAAAGTCTTCGATCATTGGATTAGGGGCGCAGGGGCTGGGGAAGGGGGGGGGGCGGCTGCTAAGACATTCTCGCCGTGATCCTGATGCTTTTGTGATTGCGAGGGAGTTCAGAGGCGGGTGAGGACATTTTTTACTGAAACTCTTGCCTTCGCACGACTTACCCCGACACATGGGTCATGGTTACACACTTATTTTTTTTAATTTCATGGGAATTATTATAGGGAAGAGTGGGGTAAAACGGCCGGTTTTGATTTTTTTCAAAAATGTTAACAGCTCATTCCATTTTAAATAAAATGAAATAATTTATTTTCCATGGAAACTAGACTTCATCCCCTTTAAAATGAGCTTAGACTGAAGTCAATTAATGAATTTGTTTCTGAGTTATGAGTATCACAATAAAAGTCAAAAGGGGCCGTTTTACCCCACTCTCCCTTAGTAAATCTCATGAGAGCGACATGGTAATTTCACGACTTGATTGAATTTTCAGTAGAACATGAATATTTAGAAACAAAATGACATGAATTTTCAATTTTTCCTTGAATTTTCCGGATCTTTCTGAATTTTCACAGAATGTCAAATTATTCAGTGGAAAATATATTGCGGGATAGATTATTGAGGAAAACAACTTGTAAATTTATTTAAAGGGGAAAAAACATGAACTTGCGAATTTTGTTAAAATTCAATAGAATTGGAAATCGTTTAGCAGGAGGAAGACAAGAATTTTCCGAGTTACTTGAATTTTGAAACCAAACATGAGTATTCAGTATCAAATAACGCTCAATTTTCAATTAATTGAAAATTCAAAAATGGATTTACCAAAATTTTTTAAAATTTCTATTAATTTTCATGACATTATTGAAATAAAATTCACAATTTTCACTGATTTTTACATCGAATTGTGAATTTTTAACGATGAAATTTCCCAACATTTCAACTGTCACATCATGAAAATATCCAAGGTGTACCGAGAATTTCACCCTCAATTTTTCTTAAAAAAAACTACTTCAAATTTTTCATTAAAGCACTGTCATAACCGTAAAACGCCGCTACTTGAGGAACATTTGACACCAAAAAATGCAAAATCACTCATAGATAAACGGCATTTCACCTGAAATTGTTATAGCTTGAGGAATGACTCTCGCAATGCCCTTGAAATTGTAGCCATTGAAGTCAGCATTCTCCATGAATTCATAAGGTATCTGGAAAATAATTGGAATATCAGATGGATCGATGCGTTATTGATGCATTCAATAGCTGTATCTGATAGTCGTGGTGGCTCGGCGTATCGATTAACCGGAATTGATATGAAAAGTTGTGGTGAGAGGAATGAAAGCCTGGAGCGAGATAACGGGAGTTTATTGGCAGAGGGAAATTACACGGCACGTGGTAATCATGGGCCTGCTGTGAATAATTCCGATGGACAGAGAGCTCCCCTGGGCGACTACTGTAAAATTCGGTGGTTGGGTAATTCAACTAAGTCTGTTCGTATTTCCTTTCAACTCGACGTTGAACTTCAAAGATTCCGGTTTCAAGATACTGTGATTTATTTTTTAATTGGAAAAAATGTATTGAGGGACATTCAAAGGATAAGTCAGGAATATTGTTGGAGATCGTTTATAAACGTCACCGGGTGCTGGTGTTACGGTGAAGTTGAGTAATTGAATCGCTACAACGTCTATTATTACTGTATTACTGGATAAAGCGGTTATAATACACTTGGGTTGCACTTTAACACCTGGAATTTTCTTGACATTTCAATCATTGGAAGGGATGCAGTTGTCAGTTATCCAATTGAGAATACTATATTTGTCTTTGAATTCAGAATTATTTTTTTAATCAAGAAGGAAAATTCATTGAACAGAAAAATTTCATCCAAAATTAACAAAATGGTTTTCTTAATTAGTTGGATACACTCGTATTTTAAGTACATATAAAACTTTTTATCTAGTGAAAGTAACTGATTAATTTAATGGTTTGAAACTTACTGAAAAAAATATTCAAAATATTCTCCAAAAAATCTTTTTTCGCCCCGACGGGCGCAAAGTAACATTTCGCGGGAGGGAAATCTTACGTTGCGCTTACGCCGGGGCGAAAAATGTCGTTCTAACCACGGGAAGTAAAATAAAGGACTCTTACCCGCGTCCTCACCACGCGGAAATAAATATACTTGAATTGAGTATATTTTATCCCAGAATCAAGTATATGTATAAATCTGATTCAAGAATAGAATGCACTTGATTCGAGTATAGTTTATACTCGAATGGGGGATGGGTGTTTCAATTCGAGGATAATTATTTCGTATCCCGAGATGTACCAAGCGCTCTCAAGCGTAATATAAGGGTCAGACACTAAGTGTGAGAATATAAGGGTCAAAAAGTGGAAGTTAAAAAATGAGGGTCGGAATATTAGAGTTCAAAACTGAAGGCCTGAATGTAAAGGCGAAGGATTGAGGGTCAGAATGTTAGGGTTGAAAAAAGAGGGTCAGAATATTAGGATCAAAAAATTAGGATCAGAATATAAAAGTAAAAAAGGTGGGTGTCAGACAATGAAGGTCATATAAGGGCTAAAAGCGATGATCGAAGCATAATATACGACTTATATTTAGACCCTCATTGCCTGACACCCACTTTTTTCACTTTTATATTCTGACCCTCATTTTTTAACCTCCACTTTTTGACCCTTATATTCTGACATTTAGTGCCTGACCCTTATATTACACTTAAGAGGGCTTGCTACAACCCGGCCTGATACAAAATAATCATCTTCGAATTGAAATACCCATACCACAATTGAGTATAAAATATACTTGAATGAAGTATATTTTTTACTCAATTCAAGAATCATATATACTTGATTTAGGTATTTTTTTTCGTGGGCACGACTCCTTTATTTTACCTCCCTAGGTCAGAAATATACTATTTTTTTATCAACAGCTTCAAATAATAAGGGAAATGCTGTAGGTTCCCACACATCAGGAGGGATAATTAGACATGAATAATGCACCCTCTCGGTGGGGAACGAAAATGGGAAAATAGACAATGAATCTAATGTCCGCTACACCTCCCTCATTAACTTTCGCGATATTAAATTTGGGTTCGCCGTTTATCATTCTGACACATGTCCTTTACCGCCAAGAAATCCATATTTTTTCACCAATCCATGAGACTTTCACGGCAGGCTTCCTTAAGCTCAGTCGTTCTTCACGATTTGATTACATTACATCCTGAGAAATGACGCATTTGAATCAAAAGAAGGATTTGACCCCGAGAGAAGATTATGACTAGTTAATAAATTATTTCTCTCCTCCGTCTGAACAATAATTTGATTTTTAAGTAATAAAGTCTTCATTTTGATCGTCAACATATTTGTTTCTTAAAAAAAACTCCTTATTTGATGTGTGTCAATGAGAGTTTCAATGAAGGACTTATTACGAGCTTTCTGCAAAAAACCATTCATTCAAATAATTTCTTGGAGTGTACCATAACCCAGCGACAGGCTTTCACAGGAGTATATGGCCTGAACAGCGTGTATAGAGAGTGACAGCTATTGGCCGTAATTGACGGTACATAAACCGAAGCACTTCACGATAACGCAATATAAACCGATGAAAACCAATCAATTGAGCCCTCAAAAAAATTCAAAGCTGTCAAATGTGAAAAGTTCAAAACATAAAAATTTGAAAATTGTTTTTATTGCTTCACATCATGGCCATGGCTAAATTCGTTGCCTGGCTTGAAATATATTTGACGGAAATTCACGTCACTGTAGTGTTAGAAATTGGAAATTTCTCAGACTATTTAGCGGAACTAACTACAAAAGTCTTGAGGATGATCGTAGAAACATTCGTTTAATTTCTCGTCAGGAGGGCCCATCGGAATCTAATAAAATGATAAGGAGAACAAATCGCAAATAGAATAGTTGAAAAAGATACACTTGAAAATTTTTCGTATCGCATCCCAGAAATTCAGATCAATCAGCTGCACTGATAGAAAGGATTAGTTATTGTTAACAAATGGATTTCACCACATGTTCATTCGTCGACTATTAACGAATATTTATTTCATCATATTAAACTCTACCATTCGTTAATAGTTAAAGAATCTCGTTTGGAATAAATGAATCATTCTATCCGTGTGAGTCCACAAAAAAAATCAATGCTTGCATAGGCAGTTAATAAAAAACAAGAGTTTAAAAAGTACAAAAAAATCAACAAACAATAAATATTTTCTTAATAATAATTTTTGCCTCACGGCCTATTCTTTTATATACGAAAATGATTATTTATCACTTCACTCACTCAATCATCATTATACGATTATTCCGCCACGGTTTCGATCTCGAAGGGACAGAAGTGTAAAATGAACTCAGCAGGAAGATGGAAAAAAGGATTACAGTGAAGTATTAATCACGAATAATGGTGATTTTCTTCGTTTTTCCCGTTTGAATGAGGACTTACCTGTTGCTGGAGCGATGTCAACTCATCGGACGGTATTATCTTGGAGTTTGCTGACCCCAGGGTGCACACAGCCACGATGAGACACAGGTAAGTGCTCATGCTGCTATTTGATCACTTACAAGTCAGTGCGAAAGGGGGATGAATCGAATTATGGGTTCTGGTCACTTCTGGGGGACGAATGATGCGTCGCGACGCTCGTCCTCTCGTTCTTATACTCGCTTGTTGGTCCTCGCGCGCATCCCCGAAAGCCCACCTCTCGATTCAACTCTTCTGTCTTCTCTCCCTCCTCTCAATTCCTCTCCACACTTGTTTGAGATTGTTCTTCAATTCACCTGAGATATGCAGCTGATCTTATTCATTGCAAATGTAATTTTTGCTTCACTGCTATTTGGGATTTCTTATGTTTAGATAGGGCAAGCAGAACAGGAGATGGACACCGACCAAAAAATGGACGGTTTCAACTTTTCTTGAGTATTCGATAATTTCAATTTTAAGTTTATCGCACCATTTCGCATTACGCATTGATACAAGGCGGGCAAACGCCAATTTACAATCTAAATATATAACAGAATTCCAATGATATAATATTTGATGTTTGTAGGAAAGTATTGAATTATCAATATAGAATTATATCTTGAGTGTTCTATGAAGAATATAATAGCAATTGTACCGCTCATTTTAATTTTTAATAACAAAACTAATCGATAATTACACGATGAACTCTTGCTTCGACATTTTATCTCCTATTATTCGATTGTTTCCACTTCACATAATTTTTTATTATACACTGGGAAAAAAACAGCAGAGTGCTCAAAAAAGTCTTACTTGTCACAAAAAAATCATTTGTTAAAAATTATCAAAAAAGGATTTTTTTGTGCCAAACATACGTAGCGTGCGCCGAGATTGAAAATTTTTATTGTAAAAATCGATTTAGTCTTCTTAAAAAAATTTGCTTCTCTGCGCAAACAAAAAATGTTAGTAACATACTGAAATGCAGTGACAGTCCCTGAAAATCAAAACTTTTTTTCCATGAGTTCGTTAAATAATTTATCTATTTTTCGTCTCCTGACGAACCTAAAATTCTCCTTAATCGTCCATTTATTGGTCTACTTACCCTATGAGTCGAAGATTGTGGGAGAAGCTTTCGATTTTTGGATGCCCCAGGGGATAATATGAAGAAGAAACGCCGGAGGAATTTAATTCGAGATATTCGTAGATGCGGAATATCAATTTTGGAGGGGGACAATTTGGTGAGGGAGTTGATCCCTCCGTCGAAGACACCCCCGACCGGCACGGAACAGCCGCTAGCCAAATGATGGCAATCTCTATCTTCATTAGCTGCAGCCGGCGACGGAATTCACAAATTGCCCCACCAATGTACCACAGTTCGTGTTTTTCCAGGGGTTGTTCGATAGTTCGGGGTAACCAGGGAACACACTGACCCTGACACAGCGGGACGCCGTTATCTGCGGAATTGAGATAAAAACCAACAATAGATTTTCATGAGATAAGGAACAAATAGGAAGAATTGATTCTGCATTGATTATGAGAAATCTAGGGCTTTACGCGATTTCGGGGAAACGCTCACGCGATCACTCGGGCGATTTGTTTAGAGGAGGACTGATGGTAGTTTTTTCTACTTATATTCAAGGGGATATTCAAGTCCTCTTACGGCTTACGTGTAGGGCGGACCACATTAATAATTCTCAGTCATCGAATTTTTCATTTACATGCAGGGAATATTTGGGAAAATTGGGGAATTATTAGCGTCATTATCATTTTTTTTAATTAATGGTTATTTGGGTTTTCCCCTTTTTTTTTAAATTTCAAAACTTTGCCTTCTCGTGATACACAAATATTTTCTTCACTCAGTCTAAAGCCTCTACTTAATCTGGATTGGATTTATTATTATAAATCCAATCCAGGGGATCCAGGGGATTTTCAACTCGATGAAATTTATAATTTATTTATAATTCTTAAGGTAAAAAATTCAGTGTTTAGAATTTTTAAGAGAAAAAGTTGTGAATTGCAACTGTTCAATTATTTTATAAATCTTTCCTGAAAGATAGATTATGTTTTTTAGATTTTCAAAATATTTTCTAACGATTGAATATGAGGATTCAAATTTAGGCATTTTGAAGGTCAAACAATGAATAATAAAATCATTTCAAAATGTTTGGTTTAACGAGGATTAATGGGATTGAAAACAAAGCATTGATGATTAACTACAAATATTGAAGAGGATTTGAACGAAAGAAAATTGCGAGAGTCCTTGGAGATCCTCAAGCTCAAAACAGTGAATTATACGTGACGCATGAAATCTTGACGGAGTAAAAACTTGTCGATGAGGGGAAAAAGCAGGAATAGAAAAGGAGCAAGTCAGATGTTCAAGGGTGACTCGGGTACATCGTAGAATGTTGAGAAAAAAATCGTCCTTTCTCGCTAGTGAAGGATAATGTATCGCACTTTAATTAAATATCAAAAGAATTTACACTTTTCATGACACCCTAATTTTTCTCACGTCATCTCATTCGGTGCATCATTAAGCTGTACCCCGTCGTCCCTCCATGTTTCAAGTTTTTATTCTCTGAGAAAGTGAAATGCGCACTTAAAATCATGAAATTTCCCTGAGGGCCTTATTTTTCGTAGAGACTCTTGCTTCACTATTATAAATTTTAGGCTGAAATTTCCGGCTCACTTCTAAGAAATTTTGATCACATTATAGTTTCACCGAAATTTCAAGGAATTTCGTAACTGAAAATTCAATATTTTTCCGAAAAATCAATGGAAACTGCGAATTTTCGTTCAATTATTCCATGAAAATTGTATGTGTGCAATAGTCTTTTACTGCAAATGTTTTAAAGAATACTTCTAGTGAAATCGCAATATCATCCCCGACTTGCAAGCCAGACTGAATCAATTAATTTCCCTACACAATGGCCTGCCACAGAATTATTTCATCCATACGAGACATAAAAACACGAGAAAAAAATTCATAGAAAAACCCAGCGAATTCGACCTTTCTTTTGGTTTTTTATTGATTTCATTTCTATTGGTTTTCTGTTGAACTTCTATGGAACATTCTATCAGCTTTTGGCCGATTCTATTGAAGAGTTCCGTAGCTTCACTGCGCTTTTTTTTGTAGAAATGAATAAAAACTATTTTATAGAAAAAGCAGGAGAATTAGGTCTTTCCACTCTTTCTACTGCGACATTTTCAATAGGAATTCCTCGATATGAATTTTCCAAGCTTTTCCACTCTACTTTCTTTCTTTTTTCATGAACAAAAAAACAATAAAAACTTCGAAAATATGAGTCGTGGAATTTTTATAGAAAATATTTCAATGAAACAAGTTACATAGAAAAATAAAAACCTGATTTTTTCTATAAAATAATTTTCATTGAATATTTCTGTCGAAAAAAACGTGCAGATGAGCTGCAGAATTTTCGTATGGAACCGACAAAAAACTAATAGAATGTCCAATAGAAATTCAATAGAGTTTTCTAGCCAATTCGCTAGATTTTTCTAAAACAATTTTTCGTACGTGAAGGTTGACTAAATTACATTTAAACCAAAGTAGTCACGAAAACCTAAACACAGACGTCTTATCTCCTCCAATAAATGTTGCACTTGTATCACTGGTCTATTCCCTCGCTTTTCCTACTCACATGTACGCACTGAATTATTTTTCCCACAAAGCATAATAATAGCACCTGTTGGAGCCTATCTCTCGACGCGAATAAAATGGCAATAGACTCCTTGTCGACTCTGAAAAATTATGCTCTTGCAAACACATCGCAATCATATTTTCGTGTGTTTGGGAATTAAACACGTGCGAGAGATCGGCGTACACAAGTCGGCGAAGTTCTGTGCATGTTAGATTGTCGTCAGACACTTCTGGTAGACACTGATGTCAAATGTACTGATTCTATTGATCTGTCTCGTGAGACCGTGCAAGTACTGTTAAAACTAAAAAAATTTTTAATTGCAAATTACGACATTTAAAATCTTTCAATGTGAACGTACGAAAGTTTCATGATGTCATCCATTAATCGCCATTTGAATTTTTAGAATAAAGTAGAATATATTTTGTATAGAGTGAAGTTAATTAATAAATATTTTGTGACTAAATTGAAGAATTGCGATCATATCAGCATTATATTATCGTTATTTATATGAGTTATATAGAATGGGTGAATAGGGGAATTAGGGAAAATTGATGTAAATGAAAGTTCCCCATAATGGTTATTGCTTTATTCTTGAAAAAAATGAAGTAAATAATCATGTAAATCTTGCATTATGATTATTGTCCTTCAGCCGAGTAAACAAATTTGTTTAGAATGCTTGAATAATTTATTTTCTGAATGTAAATATGGATTTTGCTATAAAGATTTTTCATCTAGACACACAAATATTCAGTCATATTTCATATTTATCCTTGGTACATGATTATTCTTGTAGAATATAAGGAAATGGACAATGGGGATGTCATTATGCACTAATGTTCTGGGTAATAAAGAGAAATTGGTTCAGAATGGAACATACTTTATTTTCTTTTACTGATTTGTACAATAGTACAATACTTGATAAATCGTACCTTCATAAATCGTGCGTTTATGATTCCTCTCTCTCCTGTTGTCTCCGTGTAATAAATAATAAATTAATAAATGAAGATGTACAAATAGTCATTTCGGTATAATTTTTTTCGAGCTCGCCAGATTTTTATCGCATCTGCGACCTTTTTTCTTCCCCCTCTACAAACAATCGTTATCGTAAACCTAACAAATTTTTACAAATACAATTCATGGAGTTTTTCCGCGTGTAATTAGCTAACGTTGTGAAGTATTTTCATGACATGAGATGAAATAGAAAAATGATTTAGTCGTTTATAAAAGTCAGTGATCAATTGTCATTTCATGTTAATGGTTTGTACTGTTCCCAATGAATGGATGATTTTTTTGTTTCATGATTATTACATTCTCCAATTGAGTTATTATTCATCGATCCTATAACAGCTTCGTTCAGTACTATGATTTATATTATTCATTCATATATAATTAAAAAGGAAGACATCCACCAGTTGTATAGGATCTCACTGATTGAGAAAGCACAATTATTTATATTTCATCACTGTTCGAGCACGGAAAAATCACACAAATTACTCTATCATCTCATTCAACAAAATTATTAAATTTAAAAAAGATAAAACAATATTTGCAAATACGCGACAAGTAGAGACTAGTTTTTTGTTTTGTTACAATATCATCGAGTTTGTTAAAAATACTTAAAAATGATAAAATTAAAATTACAATTAACAATGAAAAATCATTCATGACGTATGTTACATTACCCCTGGATGAATTAATATTAAAGTATAAAACTACAATATCATTTTATGGCTACGAATTGTTTATCTTCGTAATTCCACTAAAGAACTATTGACTATTTTTTATTCCTCAGTGAAAACGTAACTTCGTCATTTTGTAATTGCATTGGTGGCACGATGATTTTTATCTTCACTCTCTTATCTTCATAAATTTTCGCGAAATATCTCGAGCACTTTGTGTATATTATCTGCTTGTTCAGAAAACAATTCTACATTTTTTCATTGAATTTTTATTACGCAACATCGAACGTATTTTCGTGATTAAATATCATTGAATAGCAGAATAACGAATTGTTTGGAATTCAATTCCCCTTGAGTTGATTATATTCCAGGTAGAAATGTTATAAAATCAATAGTTTCGATTTCCATGAGCCCAACAGAATGGAAATAAAAATAGAATTGAGAGCATGAAAATCGAAAAAAAATGACGTGGTTTTCCCTTTCCTCGATTAATTTGTTCTCACTGGAAATAATAATGAAATCGAATTTTATTGCATTGATACTTGGCAAGAAAGCCACTATACCACACATACTCGTTTATAAGAGTACGAATGTCCTGCATCCTCCCCTCAAACTATTCTCACATCCACTAATACGACAATTAATTATTTACATTCGAGGATTACATCCTAAATATCCGCGTTACCTTCCTTTTAAATACTGCACGATGGATTATGATTCTTTCAAGTTAATGAAATATTTACATGCGATAGCAATGAGGATGCTCGTTGTTGCTATTTACTCTTTGCTACTGTTGTTTGCTGTTTTCCAGAGGTCTACTACTAATCTATTAGGCAGTGTTTCCCATCGCAGTGGAATTCTTAGTACCTTTATTCGTATCACTGAGTTAGTGCCATGTTGGTTTTGCCATTTGGTTTGTAGATTATATCGTGTTCTTCAGAGAATTAACACGAGAAAACAAGGTTCATGGCCTCTGATGGTCTGGTGTTGATTTTAGAATATCAGGTTGCGTTGGAAGACAACTGGAACCTGAAATCATATTGTTAATTCAATTATTAGGGGCAATTTATTTATATAAATATCCGAAAAATTAATTATTTGATTGAGACTATGTGGTATTGTTGAATTGAGAATAAGGTAGTTATCAATTTCACATTAAAAAATGCTTCCGTAGAAGAATATCTTATTGAATATTCTTACATTGAGAATTTTGAAATTGTTGAGAAAATTACTTAAAGAACGAATTGTTTAAATAAGAATATATTATATTCTTGAATTGAAAATAAAATTAACAACTTCACATTGAAAAATGCTTCAGTAAAAGTATTTATTTCAGAATTTTCTTGATGAAAATATTCATTTTTCATTTGAGAAATTAATGTTTTCTATTCAACAATTTCAGAATATGATATTTCTCATTGAAATTTTGTTTTCCACGTTTGAAAATTCGAAGCATATTTACCAGTAGTAGGTCTCATGGTAGATTTGACAGATCTGTGGGATCCATTCCGCGTCAGAGTGTTCATCTGAGGGGTTCCAGGTAGGGCGTGGCCCAAGGCATTCATGTAATCGGCTATCAAAAGCGTTATCTCCAGTATCTGAAGAGAGAAATTCCATAAATCTACCGTATACGTTAATAAACAATTTATTTCGTGAATGACGGATGCTCACTTTCGGTTTACTGAGTGCGAATAATAATTTCTGTTCAGCCGCACCCTCGTCAGGGCAAGCAACAAGCATGAAGTCATCCAGGCATCCCCCGAAGGTAACGATATTGGCGTAATTGTATCGATACATTACTGCCATTGTCTGCAGTTCGAGGAGAGTCACACTGTCCTCGGACACAGCGATCCAGAGAGTTACTGATTCAGTCTGTTTCAGCTGCAGAAATGAAAAACATCGTCATTACAGAGACAAAGTGAAAAAACTAAACGAATTAAGCCAGCAATTTTTCATGATTTTTAAATCTGGAAGCAAAACTTAACTTCTCACTAATTTTCATTCAACTTTATTCTAAATGAAAATGAGAATAAAATGAGAAATGAAATGAGAATATCATAGAAATGTAGAAATAAAAATCATAATTGCAGAGACGAAGGGGAAAATTAAATGGAGTCAACAATTTTTTAAATATTTCCAAGTGTAGAGGTAAAACTGAACTGAAATAAAATGAGAATGTCATAGAAGTGTGGGAATAACAATCATTATACTGAATTTGGAGGTAAAAATTTTAATTCCGACTAATTTTCATTCAACTTCAATCCAATATTCTAAATGAAAACTAGAATGAAATAAGAAATGAAATGAGGCCGTCATACATAAAAAAAATAACGTAAAAATGAAAACATTCGAAAAGTCGATATACCCCAAAGTACTCACTTTAGCTTGATACAAAGTAGCACCGAAGAACGGCCACTTTCTCGTGCAAGTAAGATAAATTCTCACGCAATCAAGAACACTCCTTCCCTTCAGTCCCACCCACTTCTCCTGCAATTTTTCCTGCAGCTCCCTGAGCTGATCGGGTGTTATATTAGATCGATATCTGACTGGATAGAATTTATCGAGTGCCTGGAGCACCAGATGATTGGGATTGCTGCCCTGTCCACTGCCACGTGCCTTGTCATTGTTGTACTCTCCGAAATCAATTTGTGCCATCAATGAGGCAAGCTCGAATGCCAGTTCCCGGTTGAGGGGAAATTTGCCCTGCACCACTTGCTGATTCACCTGATAACAGAGGAGAAGTCTCTCTCGATCGGTCTCCATCTTGGCTGCAGCCCTCCAGTAGCATCTTGACTTGTACGTCAACTGTATCACCCTCGTATTCTCAAATTTGCCAGAGCCCTTTTCCCTTAGTGCTGTCTCCCACTTGGAAATTATATCGCAGAGCTTCGCCTGGAGATCAATGAAGTGCTCCAGATCTCTCTCAATCGGATCGTCACTGAATAGAGTGAAACCCGACTGGTGAACATCGCGACAGCCAATCTCTTGGTTCAGGGTATGAAGGAATTCCTCGATTGTTGTACTACCGTCGAAACTGACAACTTGGTATGTTCCATTGAGAAAGTGCACGGGTATTGCGTGAGGGAGGGAATGGTGGTATGGATTCTTCAAGAGGATTGATAAGACCTCCATCCTCGATGGCTTCACTTCTCTACCACCATTCTGCAGGGTTCGCTCGAGGGCACGCTCACAATATGCCGCATACTTTCCACATTCCGTTCTAAGGGGGAATATTTTCATAGTCAAGTCTTTGGGTAAAATTGTTTCGAGGGACTTGTGGATGAGGAAATCATAATGTAAAGTATATCACAATTTCCATTGGATTTTACATCACGCAGGAGTCCCTAATAATTATTATTGTACAATCAAAAAAAGGAGAAAAAAAACTGAACATTTTCGAAGAGCGTTTTTAATAAAGATTGAGAAATAAGTCCGATAAAGTGGAAATAATGAATGGATAATATATTGTGGTAACTAGCGATCTGACAGCCATTGACTACTATGACAAATGACGACCTAACAGCCATTAGATACGACGAATTATTAATTTGCAATTTCCTCCCTATTGGGTTTATTTTTCAATATTTCTCTAATATTTCTCTAATTTTGATTGGAAATGATGTAGAAGGGTCTGAAACGTAAAAATAGTTTGGCGACCATACATTACTGTGTGTGACCACGTCAACCGCCACCTTCCCGGTGGTCAATTTTTAGAAAATTGAGTAATTAAGTGGCTAAAGTAATTCAAAAAAATCTGAAATTTTGTCAGATTATAGGTCCTAATGAGGACTAGTTCTGTGCAAAATTTCAGCCCGATCGAGATAATAGTTCTTGAGAAAAAGCAATTCATTTTTAAATCGTTTTCCGCAAATATCTTCCAAACTAGTGGACCGATTTCGATTTTTTTTTTCAAAATATTCGTTTCGACGCCTTCTATCTAAATCAATTACAACATATATACCCATTCATACAAAGTTTTCGAGGTATTCCCGTTTTTCGGTTTTTTTTATTAAAAACTTTGTAAACACTCTAGCTTGTGCAAAAATCGAGATATCAACTTGAAATTTGGATAGAAAATATGGATACCCGCTCGTACGAACCCGCTATCAATGTGTTGATGGCGGAAAAAAATAAGACATAACTCTGTGACATGCTCACTGTCACATGGCTCGCCGTCCCGTGCTTGTTTGACTGTGCAATCATAATTTTTGGGGACTCCAGGGCTATGTAAAACTGAATAGCAATCGGAGATCATTTCAGATTATCAAAATTTAAAACAGCAACCAAGATCGCGTTCGACAAGATCGCGTTTGACAGACTAAAAATGCCGAAATAATTCTTACTTGGAATCTGCATTCCTCTGGAGGTGGAGCTTCAGGTACCAAAGTAACCGATTATTCCTCGGTAGAAATAATGAAACAGCCAGTGCCAGCAGCTGCCATCCCTGCACCAACACATACTGAGCAGGATTCGTCTTGCAATCGAGGATAGTCGAGGTCGAGTGGCCCTGCGTGAGCGTAGGACTGTGAGAGGTTGATGCCGTTGACTGTGCATCCGCATTTTCACCAGCGCCATTTGACGTGGGGCTTTGCGTATCGCAGGTGAAGAGCGATTGGGTCGCACAGAGGAGGAGTTGCTGCAATATGGTATGCTGGCGTACTACTGAGTCCGTGCACTTTGAATATTCACAGCCTATTTCAACTTTTTACTCTTATTCATCGCGTAGCTAAGCTATCTAGGGATACCCATTGCATAATTCTTTTATTTTCGGAACGTTTATTTTTATGCCTATGAAAGCTCTAACTACATTATTCGTGTTTGATCAATCATCTCCAGTGTTACTGGCGAATTTTCAATTTAGTGGATCTATTAATTCAAATATGGAATCAAGAGCAATTGATAATTGAGCTACAAGGAAAATTCCAATTTACTCTGAACTCAGGGGAGGTTTGCCCTGAGAATAACTTTTCCGTTTTTTTCGAGGAACATTGTTGAAAGTACTATTTTCTGCATCTGTCTCCGCAGGAATCCGATTTTGAAGATGACAATTGTCTGCGACCACTCGAAATTAGAGATTTGAATTTCTTGTTACCGGAAATCCAAATTAAAACGAAATCTCTAAAGTATGTGTATGAAGTAGTTTTTTTGAATATGAATACCAATTTTCACTTCTTAATTTAAGTTTATTTGTCAACCAAAAAATTCGTAATTTTCGATTAGTTAATTTTACTCTAAAAAACTGCCTTTTCATATCAATTAAAATGGCTTAATTTCTACAAAAAATTAAAATCTCTAATTTGGATAGGTCAAAGTCAATTTTGTCCTGCAGAGTCGAATTCCTGAGAAAAAATCGTGCGAAAAATAGTCCTTTTTTGAATTTCTCATTGCAAAACGAAAAAGTTTCTCTCCCGGGCTGAGTCTCCCCTCAAAAATATCATATCTAAACAATAAAATCATGAAATACCTTGAGTTGTAACCCAACACTCTGCTCGGACGAATCTCAAGTTAGTATGTGAATTGCGGGGGGTACAATCGAGATTGAAAAAATAAAACATAAATCGCGTCTTGTTAATTACAAGAAATTAATAAAACAATGGATATAATAATGCATGAAAATGCCTGGAGCCCATTGTGAAGATATGAATTGTAGATGGTAAAAGCGTCTGGTGGGATATATCAATGAATAAAATCTTCACTTGCGCAGTTAGAGTCCATCCATAATTGAAGCAGCAGGAGGTTCACTCGGCTAACGTATGAATCTCTCTATCAATTTAATTCTCTCGCCACCAATTTTTCAATTTCAATATTTTCCCTCACGTCATTTATCATATCATATCAAAGTCTAAGCGGCATACGACAAATCAAGGAAGAAAAATAGGTAAATTGAGATGAAAAAAACAAATTGAAAGATCTAGATATTGCAAAATATGAACTAATCAGAGGCAGAAAGTCGATTCTAACAAAAACAGTTTGTTCTGTGTGTCTGGATATTTTTCTTCATGTACACCAACATACCATTCTGCAAGTGTTGTGTGTAAGATCAAACGAATTTTGGTCATCAATGAAATTCAATAACAATTAATCAGAAATATATTATTCCTCGACTACTGTTGGAGAATGATTAACACAGGATTGATGATTTTTTCCAAATTACGTTCATCTCACAGTGGGGACGTCAGGGTCAATGATATTGTCGCATTATGATCATCAGATGTATTGTGATTAAATAAATAAAAGAACTCGGACAAATCGAGCAGTGACACTTGTGACAGAACACGCAAACGTGACATGCATGAGGCGCACAAATTAGCGCATTCAAAGCAGCAAATTATAATAAAAAATGTGGATGATTGTGACAACTTAAAATTTTTCTTGTTAACTCAGTCAAGTATTCGTCAACCATTGCAACAATACGAGACAAAACTGCATCATCTGACACCGGAAAATAAAGCATAGAGTAACTACTTGTAATAGAAATTTTTCCTGTTAATGTTGAAACAGTAAATTGAAAATTGAAATGTTAGTTGATAAGATTTTTCAATTGTTAACTCTAATTTCTCATGGCGGAATACTTGACCAAATATTCTTCATGTACCATTTTTTTTCAATTGACTTTTTGCCATTTTTATTCGACTGAGTGAGTAAACACAGATGACGGATGATGGATAATGAAATTTCATGTGTAAAATGAAAAATGGTACACGAAATGAGATTTGTTAAACAATAAGCAAGACTTACAACACGCGCAGTACCCAGCGAGACAATTCTGGCGGCCTTTTTTACCTGTACGCCCAAACGTTGCTGGGTATGACGACTTGTCTGTTTGACAAGTGCACAAATGAACTCAGATTGTAATTCAGGTTGATCAAGACACTGCTGTAGGGCATTTTGGGCAAGTACAACGTGATAATCAATGCCAGCTTGTTCAACAGCTACAGACATAAATAACTGGCACGCCTGGAACAAATTGCTTTGATCAATACCGATAATCATCGAAATTTGTGAGAATTCCTCTGTTTCTGAGTATAAAATTCAAAGGAACGATTAATAGATTAAAATTGATGAATGCAGAGGATTGATTTAACGAATTCGAAAATTTATAAAAATGAGTACTTTCGATCGTGAATTTCAGTTGGAAATTACGAATCACTAGATCTCAATTATAGAGATGATTAGATGGTGATTAGTCGCCAATTGCACTAGGGGAAAGTTTGAAAAATGAATTCATATTCATATTTAACTAATAAGAAATTTAGAAACTCTTAACTTTTTTAGAAAAGAAGTTCAATTCATTATATACTTATACTTTATGTTAAATATTCATGTTTTGGTTGAAAATTTAGGTAATTTGGGAAATTCTCGTTTTCCTGCCGCCAAAAAATAGATATTCCATTCAATTTTCTTCAAATTAACGAATTTATGGAATATATTAAATGAAATTCTAATTTCAGGTTTAGACAACGACACAAATTATCGAAAGTTGTTCTGAATTCTCGATATACTCAAAATTTAATTGAATGCCAGCTCCAATACTCACAATGAATTTAGAAAAAAAACCAAAAGAGTTCAATTCTGTTGAATTTCTGCAGACATATTTTCATCTCAGATCAAATAAAAATCCACAACACTGAACATTCCCATCTATTCCCATTATTTCCATTATTTTTGTGGAATCTCTAACTTCATTTCCCTTTTCTAAATGCATTTCCGCATGAATTTCAACCTCATAACTCACCTTGAATAGCTTAATAGCCTCCGACTGAAGTGCCTCAGAAGTAAGACTGGTAAGTGGACTAGTAATATTCTCTTTAGTATGCAGCAGCAGTGGATGCCTCCACAGAACGCAGCTGGGATCGCCATCAGTTTCCATGAGCCTCTGCACCAGCTGTTCATACTGTGTCCCAGCGTTGGGCCCACCCCCAGAGACAACAGTCAAATGATAAAGCCAATTGTCCTTCTCCTGTTTATGAGGCATCAGCAGATACGTAGGTCCCTGATGAGTCGGAAAGATGCCAATGGTCCTCTCATGAGGGCACTCTGCATCCCTCTCCTCACTGTCACTGTCCGAGACATGCTCTACCTCCTCCACACGAGCATCCCTCATGTTGATCTGGCCAATGGGATTCGTATCACTGGGACACTTGAAGTACAGGAACATCTTTCCAATCAGAACACACCAGCACTTCTTGGCATGCCCATTCTTGACCTTCGTCAGCCAGCCCTGGATCGTTGGCTTGTTGTCCTCTCTACTCAACAACAATTTCGTAGCATTTCGTCTCTGAACATTCTGCAAAACTCTTATCCAGTCCTCCATAGTTGCAATGCAGTCAGCTGTCAAATAGTAAGTTTTCTTTCCAGTTGCAATTTCAAACGTTGCTGCACCCTCAGCCCTGTTTATCCTGCAAACTTCGTCGAGGAGAATCTGTCCCTAATTAAAGAAAAGCCATTTACTTATTTTTTAGCAGTGCGTTGGTAGAATTCCATTGAATGTACACAATAAAATTATTTATAATAATTTAATAACTAATCTAAGGGAATTTATCGAATGAAACAACGAGAATAATTCCCCTATTGTAGCTGTCCCCAGAAAATTAATTATCATGTGGTGATATTGATGAATTGTCAACTGTAATTTGCTTTTTTTAATGTAATTTTTGAGAGAGCGCGAAACGTTGGTACGAGACAGATAATTATTTGTTCTTTCTTTTCATTGATTCACACCGCTTTTGTGTTAAAGAAAATAAAAATTGTGAAACAATAGGAAAATCATTTGAGAACTACGATTATTCCTTAACTCTCAATCTGCTTTGAATGTGTTTATCAACTGAATTGTAACTTTTTAATTATTTAATTAATGATAAATGCGATGAAGATAAGAGATGACGATAATGGGACTTATACAAATAAAACAAATTTAAAAAAAATAAAATGTAAGAGTTATGCTTTATTCTGGTTTCCTCTTAGCGGATCTTTTGTGTCTCAAGGAAATAATAAATTGCTTCTATCTACCTGGGGCTTCCTGTTCACATCGTTCTGACTCTTCCAGTAGACCAGTACACCGTTCTTCAGAACAAACCATCTCTTCCTCCAAGTTTTGAGTTTACCCCCAAGTTTAGCCAAGTGGCCAGCTTTCTCCAACGACTCCAGTCTCTTTGGGCTCTCGCCGGACACTCGCATCAGCAAACTTGGCATACTGGACTCCAGGGAGGTCGAGCTCAAGGCGTCTGGGGGTATAGCATAGTCCTCGGACAAGCCAGATTCGAGGGAAGTATCTGGGGAGAGTCAAATACAAGGGTTGTTATTTTGTTTTGAGGGATGTTGCTGATTGTTTAGGACTCACCACGTTTAACACTTTTACTTGGAGAGCCACTGGAGCTCCTCTTCGCAGGACTCAAACTGCTAGTGGTTTTGATGCTCTTAGAGGGACTGCTACCACTCCCTAGTGAAGAGTCGGTGTTGTCTGATGAGCTGTTTGTTATTCTTGTGTTGGTTTCAGTTTGATTTGGGTGATCCTCACCGTCTGAACTGTCGTCTGAACTGTCACCAAAGGGCATCGATCTTATCTGGCTTGCACGACCCTTCACAGTGGCGTAGACTGGCACAGATATATCACAGTATCCTTGGGAATTGTGTGCGGTTAGATTGTGACCAGTTGCGTGGGAGTGTTTCGAGGAATTTGTGTTGGTGGTTGATGAGGGGGCCACTGAGGCATCGTCGTTCGTCGGGGGACCAATACCTAGGCCACCATCTGCCACCTAATTGAAATGAAATTATTTTAATCGATGAAATACGTCAGAGAATAAGTCACTGAGAGAAAAAAAGATTTTCTAGGAGCAGAAGAATTTTTGCCACTAATCTACTTTTGAGGATATCCAAGTACTTTGGCGATTTTTTCTCCAGTGAAATGCTTTTCTACTCTTGTAGTCGAACATTAGAGTTTATGGACATTTTACAATGATTTTATTATTTAAACATTGCAGGTCTGAATTTGAATCTCGATATTGAACCGTTAGAAAACATTTTAAGAATGTGAAAATAAATTTGAACGTTTACTTTTGGAGGAAGATTGATGAAGTCATTTATAAATAGCAAAATGTCATTTTAATGACACTGAATATTCATTATTTTTTTCAAATTTTTCTCACGCAATTTAATTGAAAAATTTGATGATTGAAAATGGATGAATAGATAAAACTGAAATGCTTCCTTCTACTCGTTATTGAAAATGACTATTACAATTAAAAAACGAAGTAAATAATGAAAAACAAGTATGAATTTTTCATTGAGTGTGAAATTATCTCGATAATGAGATGGTTTAGGGAAAAAATCCACGAGCCAGTTTTCGACGAAAATATATTTTTAAATTTCATCAAGATAATTCAATAATTAACGGATATTAAATGTTAATACTTTCATTTCGTTAAATTTCGCCGCTTAGTCACTTAATCGCACAGATAATTACGATCTTACCTGATAAATTTTCGCCTCCCAACTTGGAAATCTGTGCAGAGGAGGTGTAGGTGGCCTCGGGGCTGACGATGACGGCTGTCCAGCCCAATTCATTCCCTCTCTACTCGGTGTATAAATCTCCGCATAATCGTGAAGTGTCTCTGAACTCCCACTGTCGCGATTAGCCTCCGACACCCCCGGAATACTCGGCAGCATCACGAGATTCTCCACCGCCGCTGCCAGCTCCTCCGACAATAAACTAGAAATTCGATTGAGAAAAGAAAAAACTATGATCATAATGACTACAGATTGATTCCTATTTTGTCGTTTACATACGAAAATTTCATTCAGTTAACAGCTGAAAATTCCAACTGATGAAATCATGACATTTAATGTCAATGTCAATGCCTAATTGTCAATTTAACGCCAATAAGCTGCATTTTATCGATTTGAGGGAAGCTTCAACCCGGTAAAAAAAACTTTCGTTTTCGAGGAAGAATCTTTAAAAGTTCTATGTTTCGCATGATTTTTTCTCGCGCAGGGAATAAAGTTGCGGGAGAAGTACTAGGGAAATCACGTACAAATTACGTTTCAACATGTAAAGATTACCGTGAGAGAAATTCTCTAGAAAAATTCTAGTGCTAGCACGGGAAAAAGGGCGGAAAGTGATAGCCAGGGAAAAATTCTAGTGCTAACACGTCAATTTTTCGCGTTTTTAAGGGGAAACGAAATCCCTGCATTTATATGAATCTTTAGAATTGTGTTTTCTCCTGCAATTATTATTTTTTATTCATTAAACTACTTCATTGACTCAACAATGCGATAATCGAGTTGATAAAGTAATTTCATAGATAGAAATTAATAATTGTAGGAGAAAACACAATTCTAAGATTGGATGTAGACAAAGTGGTTCCGTCTCCTCTTAAATGAATTTTACCCCGAAATCCCCAGAAATTTTACCAGAGAGCCCTAAAAATAACCTTAACAGGACCAGAATTTTTCATAAGCCTTCAATTCTGATTGTTTCCAGCATTCGCACTCGAATTTTTCTAAAGAATTTCTCCGCGTACATTTCGATCCATCCACTCTCCTCAACAACTTCTGAATAATTCAGATGAATCCTTTTTACAAAAATAAAATGATGGAAAAGAGCTTTTATCCCCTCCGGAAGTCCCAGGACGTTACAGGGTACCACAGTCTTGAAATCGGAAGCCACTATCACGTCGCGAGACCTCCCAAGGAGAACCGAACGCACGATTTTATGATTTTAATGTTGAAAAAAGGCAGGAAGCATCTACAAGCGTTGGATGATGGACAAAATCTTGACAATTACCTCGAGTCCATGTTTGCCGTGGTGATGCCTTGCTGAATGGTACCACAGGCTGACAGATGCCTCCGGTGTCTCGATCCAATTGGCGGTAAATCAGTCACAGTTGTTTGGTTAACGTTCTCTGGAATCGCCTGGGGGGTTCCCTCGAGACTCTCCGAACGTCTCCGCAGGGTTGGGTCGACCTCCAATGAGAGAGATGCTCTCGTCGTCGGTATCTGGGAAATGGAGACATTTAATCATTTGTTTTGTAACAGGTTTGGTACTTGTGGTAGGCCAAGAAAATTACCAATGGCCGTACCAAAGGCCGGAGACCAATGTTTGTGATGTGATTACGCAGAAGCTCCAGCTGCTGATTGCACTTGTTGTTTTGCTCGCGCAAATGTTGATTCTGCTGTTCAAGCTCTCGTAGTTTATTCGTTACCCACTCCTTTATTCGAGCGGCTTTTGCCTCGACCTGTCTCGCGTCGTGAAGTCGTAATTGTCTCTGTAAAGGTCATTACGATTGATATTTCAATCGTTCGGATGAATTCAATGATTCAATACATCTCTGGGATAAACTTGGAAATTGGAATGCACTTGCATTAAGGCCGAATATTCTGATTCAAATGTCAGACCATTTGTGAAAATAGTTCTCTAGGGGAGAGCGGGGCACAATGGAATAGCCGAAAAACGACTATTTGACGCGATTCAAGCAAAAAAAAAAATTTTTTGTTCATCAACTTTTTTCATTATTGGGAGTACTGATGAGAATAATAATTTTCTATTCGTATTATCGTTCAATTGATTAGATTAGGCCGATTACACTTTTCTTTGTTCATTCGATTGAAATTTAGCATCACATTTTCCTTTTTCCCCCTCTGCGTCTCCCCCTGGGGCTTCCAATGGACTTTGGATTTTGCTGTTTCATTTTCTTTTCAATTAATCCATTGAGACAATCTTCTTCCGTCAAAACTCCTCAATAATTTTCAATTCTACTGAATGGATAATTATTATTCTCATTAGTAATCCCAAGAATAAACAAAAGTTGATGAAAAAAAATTTAATAAAAAATTTTTGTTTTTCTTTCTCAAGTTATGATTGACATTTCACGAGATGAAATGTATGAAATTCTTGAATTCTTCGATGAATTTTTTCAAGCGTAGTTTATTTAAAAGATATTTCTGCGCCAAAGGCAAAGCCTTAATTTACTAATTTCAGGGAAATTTTCGACATGTGCTGCGTTAAATGTCCAGATTCGTTCATAATCTGTTCTAATTGGAGACGGTTCTAACCATATCCTTGAAATCAATGAGTTTGCAGAGTGAACTGTGGAAAAATTGTTCTAATATGCGAGAGAAACCTATTTTTAAAAGTTTATTTTTTCTACTTCATAAATTTCTCTGCGGAGAATGTCCTAAGGCATTCTCACAATAAATGAATAATTTCATTGTTGAATTTTTTGCATATTTTATTTGATCCCATAATTGGCTTCTGATATTGGATCTTCGTGAAATAAAAATGAGATCAAATTATTCAACTCCATCCTACCCCGCCTGCGCCTGTTCCTCAACTCACCTGTTCCTCAACTTGCGTCTCTAATTTCGATATGCAAGCACAATGAACATCCTCAATCTTATCATTCTGGGTACCGGAGGTGGACGCCAACGAGTGTGCCGGGGAACCTACTCCAGATGTGCTCAGGCTGTATTCACCCTTCACCAGCCGTTCCTCCATCATCCGTACCTAAACAACAAACGTCAAATCAAGAAGTCAATCACAAAAGCTCCGGCTGAAATTGCGAGTATCGCATTGATTCCATTAGGGG